CCAGGTTGGATGAGGCTTTGAGCAACCTGATCTAGTGGAAGGTATCCCTGTCCATGGCAGGGGGTTTGGAACTAGATGATCTTTAAAGGTCCCTTCCAATCCAAACCATTCTATGATTCTATGAAGTCTACTGAATCTTTATAGTCTGAAGAACTCATATCCCGTATTTAAAAAAAAAAAAAATCCTCCATTTAAGCCAGTATTTTCAGATCTGTATTCTTAAGCACTTCAAGGTAAAACTTTTTAAGTAAAAATTATGCACTTTTTTTTTTTTGTTGATCAGCATTTCTGAAGTAAAAGTAGTCATTTTCACTAGAAGAATGTGAATTTAAAAATCTGTGTTCAGACATTCAGTTTTGCAGATTTTGAATACAATGTCTGGGACCATGATTAATGAACAGAAGTTAAAGACTCATGAGAGGTTATTTATGTACTGCTGAAAAAGCTGAAATGAAACTGGCTCCAATGAAAACATTAATTGGAAGTTCTATATGTGAAAGTTTTACTCTAGATTTTCAAGGAAGACATTCTAAAACCTTTGTCCATGCTTCGATAGCTAAGCATTTCATAGAATCAAAGAATCATTCAGGTTGGAAGGGATCTCAGAAGGCCAAACAGTGCGAACTCCTGCTTAAAGCAGAGTTAATTACAAGATCACACATCTTTCCTTCTATATAATGCACAGTTCTGCAGTGGCCTTCTCTGATTCCATGTGCTTCCTGGACAGGCTGCTACAACACCTGCTACCTGTAAAACAACTGAAAGCTGGAAGGAAAATTCAACTAGCATACAAAGAAGCAGCAACAGTTTCTGAAGAAGGTGATGTGATAAGACCATATTATGCAGGCTTTTCCATTGTTCATAGGAGCTGCTATTAATTTAGAGGTGAAATTTAAAGCTTTGTATGCTAATTACAAAGCTGAAACAGCTCAGGCTCCTGATCACTTTATGAAAACTGTATTCTCTTCCCCTGGGTTACAATATGGTCTGAAAGAGTTGGTGTGACACTTCAACTAATAAAGAGAGAAAAGGGAGGTTAGATGCTCATAGCAGTTTCTAGGAAGTAAAAGGGCACAGGAACCAGATGGTTATTGTGGAATGATACCTAGAAACAGCAGATGGCTGACATCTATGAAGAGATTGCCTATGTTACGTAGAGATAAAATATGCAAACATTTGTCAATTAAATATCTATCAGACCTGCTTGGAGGAGAGAACTACCTGGTATCTACTGGTAAGTCCATAGGATTAGGAGATGTGGAAAAATGCAGTGGAGAAGGCTCAAAAGGAACCAGATAGACTTATTTGCAATCTTCTGAAGCTGAAAAAGCTGAAGTTAGAGAGACCAGAATGTTTGGATAGTGACTTCCATTAGTAAGGAGAAATGCCAGGCCAGACTCAGCCTCCGTGTATACCCATGCCTTTCCTAAAGACAGAAAGTGCTGAAACTCAAGCAGTCAGCAAAGGGTCTACCTACTGACTTTCTTCATTGAAACTGTAGCCAGAAGATACTTCCTTTCTTAGCTTGCTTCTCTGAGGGGAGCGTCGGTAAAGCAGCCCAGGACAAAGAAATGACAATAGAAAAATGAGAGCTGCATGCTCATATAGACACGGGTGGCACTGCAAGGCTTCAACTACAGGTATCTTCATTCATGGGGAGAAAACCACCTTTGCTTTTTGGTAGAAACAGCTAGAAAACCAACAGAAATATCTTCAAAGTTCCTAATGAAAGTAAAATTTATTACTTCAAATCAACTCTCGATCTCAAATGCTAAGTCTGCTTTCTTCAATCTGCAACATAATAGTTTGGGTGCCAAAGTTCTTGGGTAATACTCTAAGACGGGAAGAAAGATGTAAAAGTTTGTGTAAAAGAAAAATTTGTAATTCAAAAGGATTATTTTTTGCCAAGTTCAAAATGGCTTGTAGTATATATTATCCTGATCATTTTGATAAAATTGTGACCTGTCTGCTATAAAAGAAAAAGCAACACTGAAGTTCTAGATCACGATTACCTGTTATAAAATACTATCCTTTTAATTTCTTAAATAGAGATATTGTATCTTTCATTAAGATACAGGATATTCTGACATTGGAGGATAGATTACTTCTCTACAAACTATCTAAGAACTAAGCTTAAAATTTTTCATTTCTTGGTAAAAGTAATGGATTTTAGATTTATTGAGTCAATATTTATAGCGTATGAATTTATCATGAATAGATGTTGCTTCATTAAAAGAAAAGTTAAACAATTCATTGTGGTTAAAACTGCTCAACATATGCGCATGCATATCTCCAAATATTTGCATTCACATTATTATGCACCTTTATGTATATAGGTAATATATTTAAATTTTAAGATGCAGAGCCAGTCAATAAATCACAGTCTTATAAGTTATACATTGTATTTAGTCTGTGTCTTAACTTCACTAGCAGCAGCTCTGTTCACTAATCTATCCCTCCAGAATTTAATTTCACATTCCAAACATGGAATTGTGTTTAAAAAAAAACAACAAACCCCAGACCAACCAACCAAACTAAAAAAAAAACAAACCAAAAACAAATTGAAAAAAAAAACCCAAAACCCTCACCAACTTTACAAGTAAGTTTTCCAGAGAAATATTGGGGACAAGCTATATCAACTTCAGATACAAGACAGGAAGTATTTAGGTATGTCACTAAACAGCTCTGTAATCTAGTTTCTCAGGATCTTACTGACTTACCTAAAAATGAGCTTCATTTCATTGCAAAGGGGAAAAAGACTTTTCATTGTAATAGAGAACACTCATTTCCCATTGGGTTAAGAAGTATTGGCATAAAATCTAACATTTTACGAGCATAAAAGCCATCCAAAATACAGATCTCTTCAGCTTTTTCTCTCTATCTCAGGCATAATAATTTTCATGTCTAATAGTTGAGAAACTAATCCTATAACATTGGGGGTTTTCTTTTTATTATTTTCTTATAAATTATCTAGAGTATTTTTTATGTAAAAGTATTGCATATACAGAAAAAAAATATAGTAGTAAATATTATAGATCATAAACAATGGCTTATTCACAGTTTCATCTATCTAAAGCAGTCTGATTGTTCCAAACTCATCCTGTTCAAACACGTCTTCATATAAGCTTTCTGTGTATGTCACTATATACAAAGTAAAGTAATTGCATACAGTTACCAAATTACTTTATAGGACACTGAATCTTGCTAGCGTAGAGGGACGAAACAATCTTTTCCCATATAGGACAGGTGAGAAACTAAAATCTATCCTATATAGGATAGAGAGACAAGACAAAATTTTACTAATGTTCACTCATTTCTTTCTTCATCTTTTTCTTATTCAATACAATGGAAAATAATTTAAAATCCTGTATGACACACATTTCACATTCTCCTTACAGGGCAATTTTTTTAAATTAAAATTGTTCTGGAAAATGTAATGAACTAAGGAATACTAGACCAATAATACCTTGCAAATATATTTTGCATTGCCCATAGATTTTGAAAGAAGTCAGAGTAAAACAGGCAAAAAGATGCCAAAAATAACGTAAAATGAAATTGTAGAAAACATCCCAAGTAAATTATCTTTATATTTTCAAGTTCTTACAGGTAAGATTTTAAAGTATCTAATATAGGGTCTAAAAAAAACAATTAACATTTTTGGTTTTATTTTATATACATGAAAGTACGAAACATTCAGTTAATCTGTGATTTTCAGTAATGCTAAAGATTTACAAAGAGGTTGATCATTTAAGATTAAAATTCAGTGATCTTTAACTAAAACCTAGAAGTGTATTATCACCTTACACAGTAAGGGAAAGTTTATGAAAGAAACACATTAGAGTATGACACTGAAACTTATAAAACACTGTCTAAAAGAACTGCTGAGAAACATGGAACACACAAGTATAAGGAAAAAGAGGACCAGCAAATTACTAAAGGGTAAAATAACATTTTCTTAAAGAACATGTTATGTTGACCCCTTGCAGCCTTAAAGTTTTAAGACTTCTAAGGAGCTGCTGTGACTCTCTATTCCCAACCAGAAACTCACTTGTTTGATGCGGTCTGGATTAACAGTGGTCTGAGGCTGTAGAATGCTGACAGGCTCTGTCTTGGCCACATTTTGAGGCATTTCTCGAATCTTCTCTGCAATGAAGCCATGAACTGCATTTAGTGCTTCAACTGTTCCCTGGATCAGACACACCCGCTCTGTAGTACCTGCAAATACCAAAAGTTGATATGAATAAAGTGGATCCTTCAAGATTCCACAAACTCCTTCAATTATGGCATATAGATGCATCAAAAGCAACCTTGCAAAACCAGCTGGTAATACCTCCATAAACATACAAACGAAAGGAGAGATTTCCAAAAGATAACATACTGATGATCGGAAGATGTTTTAAACAACTATTTGTGTAGATCCTACAAATACATAACTTGCCCAGCCAATCTGGATAATGTAAGTTAGAAGGGGGGGAAAAAAAAAAACCCAAAACAAACCCAAAACCCATTAGGTTTTGTTGGAAATATTAGCAAATACGGTGTGTGCGTGCAGAATACGTCTTTTAAATGATTTTGGCCTAGTTCTAGATTATTCTGAAATATTGTACAACTTTTAGGCAACACAAGGTTGAACATAATAGCCAGTATTATAGAGGCACTTGGAATAAGCTTTTGTAATGAACACCTGAACTGCAAATACATTCATTCAGTGTAGACGTTATTATATCATTTCTTAAAACAGCTGCAAGTTGTTATGGCAAGACCTTTTAAGGCCAACTGATCTCATGTATTTGAGTATCCACTTTGTCTTTTATAACATTCCTACCTTACAACATCCCTGCAGTAACTGCAATTATTTACTGAATACACGGAGTTTAAGCTGTCTTCAATGTGATTTAGCAGTTGGAAATTAGGAAAGCTTGTACCAAATAAATAGTCAATACCCCATGAATTACATTTCAAGAACTTCTGTTTAGAGTTATGCTGAATACCGTTCATGCAGGATATCTAGACCCCACGTGACTACCTTCTAAGCATCCATGTTCTAAGGTCATGAGAAAATACTATACACTTGTCAAATAGGTCTGATAGGTGAAATACATATTTATTCTATGTGTAAGAATACTAGGCCTTTGGTCGCAATGAAGCAGAGGAGGGGACACTTTCCCACCATACTCATCTGAAAAGATAGGACAGATGCTTAAGAAAAACAGTCCTTGAACATATTCCTCATTCCCAAACTCTGCTGTGAAGTATAATCCTCCGTTTCTTGTCATTTCAGTTTTGCCTGGTTTTCAGTTCTAATCGTTCTATTCTGCTCTGTATCATTTTGCTTAATTCTCCTCTCCAGTCTGAAGCACTTGTATTGGCTGTCACTCCCTCTCCCTTATATCACCATTACTTCCTCTCACCTTTAATTTCATTGACTTTTATAATGACTTGCCTATCCCTGTAGCCTGGAGAAAGACAGTCTGATGTGCCATGTTTGTCTCGTCTTTTGTATACCACCTCATAGAATTTGCAATTCTATGCAGATTACTAACAAACATTAAATAACTACCATAGCTTTAGTTATAATTCTCTAGAAAGGCTTAGACAAAGCCTACATTGCCACATAACCCTTTTCCAAACTGAAATTGTGCTGTTTGTGTTACAAAAAACACACCAGTCCTTATTTCTTTGATTTCTTAATTTAAAACATCTACAGGATGGCCAAAGATGGATGCAGGATTGTGGAAAAATATTTCATTTATTTTTTGTGACTAGGGTGATTTTAGATGATTTTGTACGGCTTTACTGTATAGCAAAAAAGCTTTTTTTAGATACTGGGTTACAGCTTGATACATCCTCACTAGACAAAGAATATAAAAACCCAGTATCAATCCTAAGGATACAAGTATGACAATGCACTGAAACAATGCACATTCTGTATTCCATGTATCAAACCACTTAAATGGGTTCCACAAAATCAGTTTTGACTTGAAAAACAGGACCTAACAGGAGTTGGAAAAATGAAACTTAAAAGGGAGTATTGTAGTTTCTACTTTTGTTCTGCAGAAATAACAAAACAAGACAACCTAGATGTCCAAGTAAAATTCCTTTGAAATTTCATGCAGTCCATACTTCCACAAACACATTCTGTGCATTTCCAAGATACTCAAATTAATTATTTTTCATCACCATGGTTTTACCTTCAAATACCAGTAGAACAGTTCTACTAACAGAAGAAAACGATAACATGAGCTATCATGATATTAGTGTATTCCTGAAAACACAGTAATACTGCCATGCGAAGATATGCCAATTACACATCTCTATTCGATGCCAGTGCATGTTTTGCTTCAAGATTACAGGAGGGGAAGCAAAATAACAAATTTGAGCCATGGTATTACCACAAAAATAAATATATTTTTTGTCATTGACGTATTCCTAGTAAATATTATTGACATGATCACATATGAATCTTTTCTGATGAAAAATTCATTCACTCTACCCAAATAAATGAAAATTACAATGTAATGAGGTGGTAAATACTAAGAAGTTTGCAACGATTTCTGAAGTTCACAACATGTTAGTTGGCCTCATTATCATCGTACAGGCTGCACAGAATCACAGGCAATACATAGGTTAGAGAAATGTACCAGGGAGGTAAGTAACCTCCTCCCTAAAATCCCCTTCCTATCGATTTTATGTCTTTAGTAATATCTACTGTTACCAACTCATCTTAAGATATGCTCCTTACAACGCTGCTACATAGTCTTGAACAGAGAACAGTACACTAATCTTAGTCATCTGCCAAAAAAAAAATTTTTATTAGTAAATGCTTCTCCTCTGCTTCTGTGGATGATCTCTAAAGATGAAATATTTCATTACCTAAAATGAAACAGCACACTAAGAGCCCTGCCTGCTCATTAACTTAATGTGTGCATGTACACTTAAAATCTTTCAAAGAGTTTTTTCTTAAGAAACAGTATCAGGCAATAAGGAAATTCAACTTTGTGGAAGATGCTCTACAGCAAAACTGACAGAATGAGAAACAAACATTTTTTTCTCTATTAAAATGTTATTTAAAAATAACTACAATTAGGATTAAAACATGTCAATCAGTATTTCAAAAGCTGTCAGGTTAATAATCCTTGAGATAAAATATAAAGATAAAATGATTACACTTAACAGCAAGTTATGCAAGTATCACAATCAAATGCATATTTGTTAAGAGCAAGATTTTTAGAACATTTATGTGACCTGTTATAGTGTCTTTCCAACAAATCAACTTCAAAATACAGCTAATTCTTTTTTCCCAAAACACTCCATCAAAACAGGGAGTTTAAATGACATAAGTGGAAGTCACCACAGAAAATGAAACTTCGTTCCTAGACAAAGCTTTCTTAATGCTTTTTCTTCCTGCTTGGCTTCCTCCCCTTTTGCAAACAACTCCTGTGGTTTCTGTGTAAAGCAATCCAGCTCTAAGAAAATGCTCTGGGGAGTCTTTACGCTGCAGTATTAATTGTCTCCTAAATGATGAGATGTGATGTGGATTGATCAATGCAGCTAATGCAAGTGTTCTCTAGGTCAGCAGACAATACACTGAAACAAAACACAGATCAGGTTACGTCCAAGCTACTGGAGCCTACTACGGAAAGCACTTAACAGGGATGACTACTGTCAAAACATTTGAAAGGAAAACAGTCGATGCTAAACAGGAATTTCATTAGACTTGACACTAAGCGACTAAAGGGTATTCTACAATCTGTGTTATTTTAGAAGGTGCAATATAATAAAAATATACTTTATGTCATACTACGGACCAAACACACTACATTTTAATATGTATAAATCAGGATGCAGTAAATGGAAATCACTGTTCCATGAAGAAATACAATTATGCAAAAGCACATTTCACGTAGAATAGGATACAGCTTTAAAGTGCATCACAATAGTAGCACATTTTCTTTGAGAGTTACGTCAACAAAGAAAAAGTTAAAAAAAAGTGTGGAGAAATTGTACACATGTACAGTTGGGAACTGCTTTAGTCTTCTGAAGTGATGTTGTTGTATTCCTTCACACAACTCTAATAGCTTTTCACTCAGATAACAGAGTACAACAATTTACAAGAGTCACACAAAAGGAAAACTGCCAGCTATATGACCAACCTGTATAACAAAAAAAAGCCTATGCATCACTAAAGTTGGTGAAATTTCTGTCATTCTAAAAGCTTTTAGGCTCCATTAGTGTCTAAAGTAAACTGTCAGATTATTTATCATTTTCAGTTTTTTAACAGTTGCATTCACTCCTTTTTTCACGTTTCTGTGAACAAAAACTCAGCCATCTATATACATACTTTTTGTCATATGAATTTCAAAATATGTATTTAAAATACTGATCTCATTTTTTAAATAGCTGACTTAGAGAAAGCCAAATTACCAAATAATCAATGCCTTTTTTTTTTTGTGCAAACATAGCCAATATAAAATTACTCTATTTTTTAAATTATTTACAATTCCAATCGGAGTTAGGATTATGTATTGTACATTGTCTTGTACATATGAAGAGATAAAACTTATACAAGAGAAGAATAATTCTGCCACAGAAAATGACCACATGTAGAGTAGGTGGTCATCACCCCAGTACATTAAAAAAAAACAGAGAAATTATTTTTATGTATGTTCAATAATACTAAAGTCCATGACAGAAGTTTGCACGTGGTTGCAAAACAGGAAAACCACTATCTAAATACATGCTGCTGCTGCTGCTGCTACAATCATTTCACGTTTACTTTTCCTAAGGAACCCAAGCAAATTACTCAGTATTTGTATGTACTCTACTTTTCAGCAAGTAAAATGTGGTTTATTTCTTTTTATATCAGAATTAAAATTCAATTTGCACATGTATGTTTCAACTTTTTCTTATCAAATAATAGAGGCAGAATGTAATTGCACAAAAAAGTCTGCCTGTACTGCTCATCAAAAATAGATTTTTAAAACTAATGGAGAAAAAAAATTAATCAGTTTTTGTTTTGTTTTGTTTAGCTTTTAGAGGGAAATTTTTGGGCCTAGTTTTTTAATATGAAAACAAATATGGCATGGGAAGTGGTAGAGTCACCATCCCTGGGGGTATTTAAAAGATGTGTAGATGTGGTGTTTAGGGACATGGTTAGTGGTGGACTTGGCAGTGCTAGGTTAATGGTTGGACTCGATGATTTTAAAGGTCCTTTC